ATCAAACTGCAGCCTTCAGCCTGGTTTAAACCTATTTGTTCTTTTATATCAGATATAAATCAAAGCTGCTGGTAAAGTAGAACTCTATTGTAAAGACAGTCTTACTGTATCAGGTGGAGATCTAAGTATTTTTAGGTGGCATGTCATAAAAGGTTTGACAACCACTTGATTAAGACATTGGACATTTTTACTGTGGACATACACTTTTAAATCCTTATTTTTCCACATTTAAACCCTTCAGTTGGGCCTTTATAAAGTGGAACTGCAATGCTTTGGTCTGAATTCCTCCTTATTGTAACTCCATAAGCCCTGCCCCTTTTCTGGGGTGTGTCTCAGATCAACTCGTTTTGAGGCTGTTACTTTACATCCAAACAATGTACTTCACCCCCACCCCCTCCAGCTTCGAGACAGGTTCAATCTAGTTTGATAGAGGGGGTTTACAACTATATAGCTGCGCAGAAACTTTTTATTTACAAATGAATTAAAAAGTGTCAACAAGGGAAGACTTGTCCATCCAGCCTTACATGTTGGAGACAGAGTCTGACCCAGAACCAGAGGAGAATGAAGACCGCCAACTTGTAGTTGGTAAGTTCAGACCTTATTTAGCAGTTCTGTCACAAATACTGTGATTTAATAGTTCAGGAAACATAATCGAAAATAGAGAAAACTGAACGGGTTGAAAGTTTTGACCTAAACAGAATATAAAGATTTCTCTGCAGCACCAGGAGAGAAACAACAAAATGGATTTATTGGCTAAAAAAATTGGATTTTGCAGGATATGTCCCCTTTAACACAACACAGTAATTTGACTTTTGGTAACTTTCCACTTTCAAGGTAAACCACATTTATTTTGAGTTACGATTAAAAATCCTTTATTCTTCTGTTTTCCTGTCAGTTTGAGTGGATGAAATGTATATCTAAGTCTTTATATAATATAAAATCATACATTTGTGTTCTTTCGTTCCTCTTGTGCCTAAAATAGTTAATTATTGTTAATATTATATTATGGCTATATTTTAAAACTGATTTATTGAAATGTGAATGTGTGAATGTAAGCAGTTTTAATAGCAATGACTCATTTTAAATAAAAAAAAACATCTAGAGAAAGTGATTAATTTCTATATATTTTTGTTTTACTATTATAAAACTAAGATATTTTTGCTATGAAACTATGAAAATGCCTTTAAATACCTTGTTTAAACAGCCTCTAACCTAAGTGAGCCACAGAAAACTATGATTAAAGATGCAGAAACATGATTTGTTTTTCTGTCCCCGACATTTCTGCTTTAAGCCTCTAACATTGACATACAAATCCTGCTTAGCTTCATCATTATAGTCCAAACAAAGTTTAAAACATTAAAAAATATTTGATTAGCTGTTTTAAGTCAGTGTGCAGCTACAGTGTGTGCGTGATATCTGAATGACAGGATAATGACCTACAGTGCATTGTTTGTTTTCTATCTGATAAAGCTATTTTCTGGTGAATTGATTTCAGCTCCATCTGATATCTTTAATCCCAAGAGAGTCTCCAGAAGCCAGGAGGGAAAAAAGAGAATTAATGAAAAAACAATAATTGATTAGTAACCACTGAACTCACAGAACCCGATCAGGGCCGGTATGCAGGAGCCAGGAGGCTGACAGTAGCTAAAGCCTAAGCCAGACAGCAATCTCTGGTTCCTCACAGCCTGGCACAGATAAGCAAGGGCTTTCTTGCACTTTTCCATCAGACAACACTGAGCAGTGGAGCGTGTGGGCGAGTGGAGGCAGGCGAGACGGCTAAACTGCCACCACAGCCAAGAAAATAATCACCCTGAATACAGGTTCCAGGAGAGCAAAGAAAAGAACTGCTCTCAAACATCTGAGATACAGGTGTGACAGGGAACACAAAAATGACAACATAATTAGTGGCCACAGCATTTTTAATGTTCTTAGCACAATAAATCTGATCAAGTACAGCCTTAGATGAACCACAGATTAGATTAAGACAACCCACTGAAGTCAGAGAAATAGATATTCACTCAGCAGAATGAGGGGCTGCTTATAGAGACTGGACAAGGACTGGTAAACTGGACACGTACTGGTGAACTGGACAAGGAATGGTGAACTGGATAAAGACTGGTGAATTGGATAAGGTCTGGTGAACTGGACAAGGACTGGTGAACTGGACAAGGACTGGTGAACTGGACGAGGACTGGTGAACTGGAGAAGGACTGGTGAACTGGAGAAGAACTGGTAAACTGGACAAGGACTGGTGAACTGGACAAGGACTGGTAAACTGGACAAGGACTGGTGTACTGAAGGACTGGTGAACTGGACAAGGACTGGTGAACTGAAGAAGGACTGGTGAACTGGAGAAGGACTGGTGAACTGAAGAAGGACTGGTGAACTGGAGAAGGACTGATGAACTGGACAAGGACTGATGAACTGGACAAAGACTGGTGAACTGGAGAAGGACCGGTGAACTGGAGAAGGACCAGTGAACTGGACAAAGACTGGTGAACTGGAGAAGGACTGGTGAACTGGACAAGGACTGGTGGACTGGAGAAGGACCGGTGAACTGGAGAAGGACTGGTGAACTGGAGAAGGACCGGTGAACTGGAGAAGGACTGGTGAACTGGACAAAGACTGGTGAACTGGAGAAGGACCGGTGAACTGGATAAAGACTGGTGAACTGGATAAAGACTGGTGAACTGGACAAGGACTGGTGAACTGGACATGGACTGGTAAACTGGACAAGGACTGGTGTACTGAAGGACTGGTGAACTGGACAAGGACTGGTGAACTGGAGAAGGACTGGTGAACTGGAGAAGGACTGATGAACTGGACAAGGACTGATGAACTGGACAAAGACTGGTGAACTGGAGAAGGACCGGTGAACTGGACAAGGACCGATGAACTGGACAAAGACAGGTGAACTGGAGAAGGACCGGTGAACTGGAGAAGGACTGGTGAACTGGAGAAGGACCGGTGAACTGGATAAAGACTGGTGAACTGGATAAAGACTGGTGAACTGGACAAGGACCGATGAACTGAAGAAGGACCGATGAATGTTTGGACAACCTCACATTTTATCTGAGTTTTCTGGTTTGCTTCAATATAAGTCACACCTGGCTAAAAGATTTTGTGTTTCCTGCCTGTCCTTTAAAACCCCAGCTGGTCCCAGCAGATCCAGAACCAGTATCTGCTGGAAGTTTCTTCCAGTTAAAAAGGAACCTTTCATCTCCACTGTCATGGTTGATTTTTTGACCATTCTTCCAGAAGCACATTGGTGAGGCCACATACTGATGTTGGACAGAAGGCCTTTCAATCTCTGCTCTAATTCATCCCAAAGGTGTTCTATCAGGTTAAGGTCAGGACTCTGTGCAGACCAGTCAAGTTCATCCACACCAGACTCAGCATCCATGTCTTTATGGACCATGCTTTGTGCATTGGTACACAGCCATGTTGGAAGAGGAAGGAACCATCTCCAAACTGTTGCCACAAAGTTGGGAGCATGGAATTGTCCAAAATGTCTTGGTTTGCTGAGGCATTCAGAGTTCCTTTAACTGGAACTGAGGGGCCAAGCCCAGCTCCTGAAAAACAACCCCACACCATACCCACCCCTACAACAAACTTTACACTTTGTACTCCAGAGAACGTGCCTCCACTGTACTAGAGTCCAGAGGCGGAGTGCTTTACACCACTGCATCTGATGCATTGCACATGATGGGCTTGGATGCAGCTGCTGGACCATGAAGCTCTCTGTGCACTGTTCTTGAGCTAATCTGAAGGCCACATGAAGTTTAGAGGTCTGTAGTGATTGACTTTACAGAAAGTTGGCGACTTCTTCGCACCATGCATCCACTGACCATGCTCTGTCAGTTTATGAAGCCTACCACTTCATGGCTCAGTTGCTGTCGTTCCCAAACTCTTCCATTTTCTTATAATACAGCTTACAGCTGACTGTGGAATATTTAGGAGTGAGGAAATTTCACGACTAGATTTGTTGCAGAGGTGGCATCCTATCAAAGCTTCACACTGGAGTTCATTGAGCTCCTGAGAGCGACCCACTCTTTCACAAATGTTTGTAAAACTGTCTTCATGCCTAGGTGCTTCATTTTATCCACCTGTGGCCATGGAAGTGATTGGAACACATGATACCAATAATGCGGATGGGTGAGCAAAAGCTTTTGGCAATATAGTGTATCATGCAAAATCTACTTTTTTAGCCATTAAATACATTTTGTTGTGGACTTGGAGTCTCTAGGGGGCAGAAAAGTTGAATTTAGTTTCTTCAGGTGCTGTGTAGATTTCTTTATACTCTGTTTAGGTCCGATTTTTCTACCCGTTCAGTTTTCTCTATTTTCTAGGACGTTTTCTGAACTATTATATCAAATTATTTGCGATGAAACTTTTGAATAAGGTCTGGACTTCACAGCTGGAGGAGGAGGAACAAGTCTTCCCTTGTTGGCATCTTTTAATTCATTGGGGGTGGGGCGGGTGGGTGCGGGCTTGTTTGGATTAAAAGACACAGCCTCAAAACAAGTTGATCTGAGACGAGGCTTGTGGAGTTACAATAAGGCAGAATTCAGACCAAAGCAATGCAGTTCCACTTTATATAGACCCCAACAGAAGGATTTAAATGTAAAAAAGAAGGATTTAAAAACATAATACTATCAATAATTTGGATAGCTTTAGCCATTCAAAGTTTACTTAATGGAGTTTACTGTTTTATTAGTATTGATCAGTACGATGCTTGGCTCTACAATACTGATGATGCTCCACAGAGTTGCACTGCAGCAACATAAGCTGCACATTTTCTGGATAATTGTCACAAACAGAAATGATTAATAAAAGTCTGAGTTTATAGTGACTGCAGCTGTGTAGCAAGGCAGCCACAAATACCGGAAACTCATTCATTCATTTGAAGAGTAAATATTCGATAAGGCAGTCACAGCTTGTAGAACCACATCTAAGCTGAACTCAATCAGTTTTTTTTTCCAGCTGAATAAGATACTCACTGCAGGTCTCCTCTGCTTCATCAGATCCATCCGGACACTCCGGCTCCCCATCACACCGCCACCGGCCCGGGACACACTGACCATTTAAACAGGCGAACTCTGCAGGCGCACACGTTTTCCTGGCTGTTCAGAAACAAAAGCACAAATAAAAAAACATAAAACATAAATAGAAGCACAAAAGTTCAGCCTGTGGCAAAGATTATAGACATGATTAAAAGAAACTGTCCACTTCATCTGAATCCAGTTATCAGAGATCAGTCTCCTCATTTCTCCCATTATTTCTGTTATCCTCTCCACTCTCCCCTAATACCCCTTTCTAATTATCCCCACTTCTTCTGTTCCTGGTTCTCTCATTGCTCCGTTTCACTCTCACTCCATCTAAAATCAGACTCCTCCTTCAGGAGCCGTGGAGTGGATATTAATCACTGACCTCTGAAATCACAGGAAGGTTAACCCCCCACAACCCCCACAACCCCCAGCCCATTCCAGGCTGTTTACTGCAGAAAGCTACAAGTCAGCACTGCCATGGGCTGAGAAACACATCAAGGGTGGTGAGAAGAAAAAGAGGAGGAAGTGGGGGGGGACCAAGACGAAGAAGAAGATGAAGAAGAAGAAGCCGAAGACGATGAAAAAGACAACGAAAACAACAAAGAAGAGGAAGACGAAGAAGAAGACGAAGAAGAAGACGAAGAAGAAGACGAAAAAGAGACGATGAAGAAGATGATGACGAACAAGAAGACAAAGAAGACAAAGAAGAAGACAAATACAAAGATGAAGAAGACAACGAAGAAGAAGAAGACAACATAGAAGACAACGAAGAAAAAGAACAAGAACAAGAAGAYGAAAAAGACAATGACGAAGATGAAGAAGGTGAAGAACAAGAAGATGAAGAAAAAGACAAAAAAGACAAATACAAAAAAGATGATGACAAAGAAGATGAAAAAGACGATGACAAAGAGGATGATGACGAAGATGAAGAGCAAGATTATGAAAAATAGACAAAGGAGAAGATGAAGAAGACGACATAGAAGACGACGACGACGACGAAGAAGAAGAAGAGAAACCAAAACATTTCAGGCAGGAAGTAGAAAATACTGACCAAACACAAGTTATCGGCTACTTTCTCCGTAATTTTCCGTGGTAAAAGCATCACCAGAGACAGAAACTCCACTCACAAAGACAGACCCTGAACCTGTAGCATTAATGCTGCTAACACCCTGGAGCGGTCCGACACCAGCAGAGGTCAGAGCCAATCAATGTTTTAAGCCTGTTAGTCCTGCAGGAGCTGTAATACAGACTAATAAAAGACTGCTAAAAGCTCTCAGCAGAGTTGTGGGCTCCTCTTATTGTTGCGCAGCGGCTGACTCAGTCCTGCTTCAGCGCAGGGCAGAAGTGTCGTGCATCATCTCACAGGATTCACAAATTAATAACTTGTAGTGGAGGAATGTTTGCAGCAGTTTCATCAATGATCAGCTAACAGAGGCAGGTGACTGGTCACAGACAAAACGTGCAGGAATGGTGCACAACAGACACGTTTGGTACTGCACTAGCCAGGCCCTTGTCTTCCTATGCAGCTCCACTCAATAGGACAAGGGTCTGGTTTTTACCAGCCTAGTTCTGCACACCTGCTCAGATGATAAGACAGAGAGGTTTGAGTTGGTTGTGTTTTTTTTTTCTGTCCACAAGCAGAGAACATTTCACAACCAGTACATTTTCAGCACATTAAACAGCCAGATGGTCTAATGAAACAGGATAAAAACTGTGAACAACCAAAGACAAAAATTAACTAATTTAGAGATTTCCTAATTGTTTTAAGTGAGATTAAAACAGCTCTTTGGCGGCTTTAAAAATATTCATTTTAATATAAGATTTATCCTGAATTATATCAAATAGTTGTAACTGAAAGTTTACTTTAGTGGTTTTCCTTATTTAATGATAAGCAACTCTAAAATGCAGGTACTCACTAAACGTAAACAAATCACTGCTAAAACCCAGGGTTATTATAGTTAACTAATACTAACTAACAAAAACTGAAATTGAAAAAAGCTTTTAGTTAACTAAAATAAGTAAAAACTGTAATAAAATGAAAAAAATAATAACTACCGTATTTTTCGGACTATAAACCGCGACTTTTTTCCTGAACTTTGAACCATGTGGCTTATAGTCCGGTGCGGCTTATACATGGATTTTTTTCTTCAGCCACCAGGGGGCTCTTTAGCCTGAAGTGGGGGCTCTTCAGCGGAGGTGGGGGATCTTATGCTGCATTTTCTTCAACCACTTGCTTCAAAAAAAGAAAGGGAAAAAAAGAAGAAAAAAGCGATCGCTTCCAGAGCTCACTGTTGTACCAGGAAGCAGTGATTTAAAGATAGTCAATGGCCAAAAACTCACAAAAAGGGATAAAACAGACATTTTCACAGTGGAATCTGACTGATAAAAACTTTGGAGCTTAATCCAGGACCAGTTTGTGGATAAACGTCAAGTGAAGAGCCGCAGACTTTTTTTTTTTCCGCATTGCACTCCCCGGGGAAGGAATCCCATGCAGTGACGTATGCTGGAGTGGGAGGGCTTTCCCAGCAGCTAGACTGGGGTTTCTCGGGGGAACTATGAAAGGTCAGTGCAAAAACGAACACCGAACAATCACGTGATGGCGCGTCGACCGGTCGACAGCCGAGCGACCATACTGCCAGCTTAGCCGGAGGTGTAGCGCCATTTTGTTTTAGCTAGTAGCAGACACGATACGATGGATCTTCGACAGACACGATATTGGACAGTATGCAGGTCCACATCACGGATTCGGTGAAAGCAGCCATCAAGAAAACAAACTCAATTCCTGCTGTTATTCCTGGAGGTACAACAAAGTTTTTGCAACCCCTGGAHATCRGTGTGAATCGTGCATTTAAAGCAGCACTCAGGGCTGAATGGGAGGCTTGGATGACTGACGGGGATAAATCATTCGAATACGAAGAGCATCATTTCCTGATGTCTGCCAGTGGATCCTAACAGTGGAGCAGAGTGAATGAGTCCACCATCACCAATGGGTTCTGAAAGGCTGGACTGCTACGTGAAGAGGACACCACAGCTTCAGAGCCAGCATTACCCCGGGAGGACAACAGATACCGCTGTGTGACGCAGCTTTTCTCAGCTTGTTTAACTCCGACACTGAACAGATACCGCTGTGTGACGCAGCTTTTCTCAGCTTGTTTAACTCCGACACTGAAGAGGAGGACTTCGATGGTTTCAGTGCGCCGGAGGACGATGAATGAGACGTTTTGTTGGACTAGAAACTGTTAAAGAAAACTACCAAAATAAGGTCAGTTAAATGAACCGTTTTCCTCCGAACTTTAATTCCTAAAGGTTTGCTTTTTATGTTTTGATGTTGAATTCATTTTTTGATGACAAATTTGGGTGTACTGTTTCTTTATTTTTGTGTTGGGGGTGCGGCTTATAGTCCGAAAAATACGGTAACTAAAATGGTATTATCTTTTTACAAAGCTAACTAAAACTAACTGAAATTATAGCTAGAATATCCTTAGTTTTTGTATTTGTCAATTTATTTTGAGCTGTGTGGATCTTTTTTTTCCAAACCGAGTAGTTTCACATTAGCTGTGATCCATAACAACACTTGTTTACAATCTGCTGCTGCTCTGCATCATCTGCCAAATGACGACAACAAAAGTTGGGAGGAAGCAGCAACGTCCACTTTGTGATTTTTTGAATATGATGCAAAAAAATAAAAGCAGGTGTCTTGTAGTGGAAACAGGTGATAAAATAGGTGGAATATTTCTTAAGGGAAAAACTGCATGAATCAAGCTCACACAACAAGATGCTAACTATGACTATCTTTACACACTAGCTTCTCTCAGTAGCTCCTGTGAAAAACAAGCAACAGGTAGCAGCAGGTTGGAGACAACTATTATCACTGTCCTAAAATAATCACCCAAGTCCTTAGTTGGCAAAAATGAGTTATACAATTATTTTAGGAAAGTGTTGCTATAGACTGTTTAACTAGTGACCAAATAGCTGTTGTTTAGTTAAGTCACAGAAGCATGGCAAATAAACTATACAAAAAACTAATACTAGAACTAATAAAAACTAAAATAAAACTAAGCATTAAAAAACAATAACTAATAAAAACTA